CTCTTCTCCTCTCTCCTCTCTCCTCTCCTCTCTCCTCTCTCCTCTCTCCTCTCTCCTCTCTCCTCTCTCCTCTCTCCTCTCTCTCCTCTCTCCTCTCTCCTCTCCCCTCTCTCCTCTCTCTAATCTCCTCTCTCTTCTCCCCTCCCTCCATCCCTCTCTTTCCCCCTCTACCACCCCAAGTCTTTACTCTCCTAGCGTGTAAACAGGAAGAGACAAGTAGTGTTTTAAAAAAAAGGAACATTTACATTTTCCCTCTCTCTCCATCCTTCTCCCCCAGTCTCTCTCCCAGAGCGTGGACGGTCTACCTAGGTAAGCTCCTATTGAACCGCAGCAGTCAGATGGAGGAGGCCATTCGGGTGCAACAGATCCTCCTGCACCAGTACTACGATGACGAGACACACGATTATGACTTGGCTTTGCTGCGACTGGAGAGACCTGTGGCTCCAGGGACCCTGGCCCAGCCCGCCTGCCTGCCATCACCTACACACCAGCACGAACCTGAGCTACTCTGTTGGGTCACGGGTTGGGGGGCGCTACGTGAAGGAGGTGAGGAGAGTGGGAGGGAGGGAGGGAGGGAGCGAGGGAGGAAGGGGGTTTAGAGAGGTATTATAAAGACAAAGATATTTTAATGTATTCAGTTCTATATAGTCCAGCAGCACAAATACTTACAAATAAAAGGAAAATGTATTGTAAAAAAGGTATATATATATTTTATGCCTAATAAGTTTCCACCAATTGGATGAAAAGTAAAGCTTGATTCCAGATAAGAAAGACTACCTGTCCATGGAGAGTGATTGACCTCTAACCTTTGACCTCTGACCCAGGCAGTCCCAGTAACGTGCTGCAGAAGGTGGACGTGCGTCTGGTGAGCGAGGATGCCTGCTTCCGTTCCTACGGTTACATGGTCACTCCCAGGATGTTGTGCGCCGGCTACCGCAGCGGAGAGAAGGACGCCTGTCAGGTACAGGAAGTGATTTCAGAGTTGACACACACACACTCAACGCACAGATTGATTAGTTGGTACCTCAGGTGAGGGAGGGAACAGGGGGTTTCAGAGTAGTAGGAGCTGGAAAAGAGAAAGCAGCAAGTTACAATGGCCTTTGTGGTTTAATAGCTGAAACGTTCCACTAACGTTCATCTAATTGCTAACTTTTTTATCGTCTCTCTCTTACTTTCTCTACCCCGCCCTCCCTCCCCTTCTTTCCCTCTCTCTCGCTCTCTCTCTCTCTCTCTCCTCTCTCTCCTCTCTCTCTCCTCTCTCTCCTCTTCCATCTCTCTCTCTCTCTCTCTCCTCTCTCTCTCCTCCTCTTCTCTCTCTCTCTCTCTCTCTCTCCCTCCTCTCTCTCTCTCTCTCTCTCTCCTCTCGTCTCTCTCTCTCTCTCTCTCTCTCTCTCTCTCTCTCTCTCTCCTCCTCTCTCTCTCTTTCCCAGGGTGACTCGGGCGGTCCGTTGGTCTGCCAGGAGAGCTCGGGTCGTTGGTTCCTAGCGGGCGTGGTCAGCTGGGGAAAGGGGTGTGGCCGGGCCGACTACTACGGCGTCTACACCCGCATCACCAAACTCACCGGCTGGATCAAAGAACACATCTCTGGACCTGGCTGATCTTCATCATCCTCATCATCAACATCATCATCATCATCCCAAACATTGTTATCATGTAGTAATTGTTGTGATCTATTCTCTGTGTCAGTCCTTAGTTTATTTAGGCGTCAGTCAGGGTTTTAACAGTGTCATTGACCTTCTGGCAGTCTGGCACCTAATTTCATTAACTTACAAGCAGACTTTCTGGCTCCACTGGGCAAATACACACTCTGTAGCATTGGGTTCTACATCCAACACTGCCGCTTAGTGGAAGCTGTTAGAATTACAACATAATTAAGTACTACCATACCAACCCACTGCTTTTTTTCATTCTTCCCCTCTAATCAGGGACTGATTTAGACCTTGTACACAAGGAACATAAAACCAGCAGTACTCTGTACCTCGTTGGGTAAGATTTGAATACATCTGCAATCAGCCTTTCATATGATTCCTTCATCGAATGTTTGTCTGTGTATATACTTTTAATTTCAACAACATACTGCTGTGGATTGGAATCATCTGAGTCAGTGCACTACACTTGAAGTGCTATTTGCTTTCAGTGTATTTCATTTAATGATATAAGGTTCTGATGAAAGCCATTGAAGTCTGAAACGTCAATGTTAATGGTGAGCGAGCGTTCCGCCTTTTCCTTTTCCTTTACATGATGTTCACTATTGAAAATGAGAGCTAGAGCTTTGAATCCTTGCAAAACCTGAGTGAATCGTAAATGGCACCCTATGGCACCATTTGGAACGCCAAGCATGAGTGTCAGAGTCATCATAATGTTTCATTAATAAATCAGATGACCTGGCCTCCACAATCCCCCGACCTCAACCCAATTGAGATGGTTTGGGATGAGTCGGACGGCAGAGTGAAGGAAAAGCAGCCAACAAGTGCTCAGCATGTGTGGGAACTCCTTCAAGACTGTTGAAAAAGCATTCCAGGTGGAGATGTCATCAAGGCAATGGGTGACTATTTGAAGAATCTCAAATATAAAATATATTTTGATTTGTTTAACAATTTTTTGGTTACTACATGATTCCATATGTGTTATTTCATAGTTTTAATGTCTTCACTATTATTCTACAATGTAAAAAATAGTAAAAATAAAGAAAAACCTTTGAATGAGTTGGTGTGTCCAAACCTTTGACTGGTAGTGTATGTAGATAAGATATTTCTGCTTTTTATTTTGAATAAATGTGCAAAAATTTCTAAAAACCTGTTTTCGCTTTGTCATTATAGGGTATTTTGTGTCGATTGCTGAGGACAAAAAAAAAAAAAATCTATTTTAGAATAAGGCTGTAACGTAACAGAATGTGGAAAAAGTTAAAGGGTCTGAATACTTTCCGAAGGCACTATACATACACATACACACATTCCACCATAACGAGAGGTAAACAAGAGCTGCAGGACTCATGAATTAATAACGATTATTAATGTAAATACTCTCCAGATGGAAAGTTCTGGGCAGAGAGAGAGACGAGAGAGAGAGAGAGAGAGAGAGAGAGAAGAGAGAGAGAGAGATAGAGACCGATATGAGATAGAGCGCCTAGATAGATATATCTAGAGAGAGATCGATAGAGAGAGAACACCCCCCACCGCCTCGGCTGGTATTGCCACTGTATTAGCACTGCTTTCTGGCACGCACTGTGCGTTTTGTTTGTCTGCACTGCGTTTGTGTGTGTGTGTGTGGTGTGTGTGGTGTGTGTGTGTGTGTGTGTGTGTGTGTGTGTGGTGTGTGTGTGTGTGTGTGTGTGTGTGTGTGTGTGTGGGTGTGTGTGTGTGTGTGTGTGTGTGTGTGTGTGTGTGTGTGTGTGTGTGTGTGTTTGTCCCAGGCTGCCCCTCAGTAAAGCGTTGGGTAGAGTCAGAGATAGTTGTGGTGACCTAGTCTGTAATTATAGCTATAGAGCTGGAGCCAGTCTTTGTCTGTTTGTGCCTCATGCATGTGCGTGTGTGAGTGCATGTGTGTGTGTGTGTGCGAGTGCCATTCTGTCTCATAGTATAAAAACAAACTTCACTCTTTCAAAAAACGTCTTTAATACACAAAAAGTTAATACAATATACTGTATAGAATATAAACATAATTAGTATTCATGTATAAAACAAATTGCACATGTACTTATAAACACAAAATGTAGCACCCATCGATGGATTTTTAAAGCACCAATTCACTGACATCATTCCTTGAGATTATAAACGTTTACTAGCGTTAGTCTGATCAATCAATCAATCATTCAAAAACCTAAATAATTATATTCATAATTATGCATATATTCCTATTACCCATAATTCATTAAGAAGCTCCTCGACTCCATCTTGTTTATGACCCTGTTTTAGTTGGCTCCAGATAGAAGTCGCCCTTAGGTACAGATCTAGGATCCATTTTCCCTCACCCAATCCTATCCTTAATCATCAATAGGAAGGACAATGCAAAAACGTATCCTCTTGAACTAACCCCCTGCTGACATCACCAATGCAAGTCATTATCCAGAACAGTATATGTAATATTATGTCAAATAGGGGGTGCTTATATTTGTCCTGTTTCACACATGTACAAGAGTGGTGGCCAATAGGAATGGGTTTCTTACATATCCCACTCCCCCTGAGACACTCTCAGAGAGTGGGGTTACAGACAGGGATCCATTATTGGAGGCAACCCTGGAGCAATTAGGGTTAAGTGCCTTTCAAGGGCAGATCAACAGACTCAAACTAGCAACCTTTGGGTTACCGGCCTAACACTCTAACCGCTAGGCTAACAGCCACATGTGACGACCCTCCCACTCTGTCTGCCGATTCGTTCTCTTTGCTCTTGTTTTCCTTAATAGGATGTCGGTGGGCGGAGCAGAGAGGGTCGTCAGCGAAATGTGTCCCGGGGATAAATACACCTTTCCCCCATACATTGAGGAGACTCTCTCCACGTAGACACACTGTTGGTTTTGGGGCTTCTTAGTGTTTGTTTGTTTTGGCACTCTCAACACATTAGCACCATCTATGAACACATCCACTCACTTACACTACTGACTACTGACTACACACACCCTTGTTACTTGTATATAGTTTACTTTATTTAATAAATATGTTTGTTATTTCTTTATCTCCGCGTTGTCTCCCTCTTTGATACGGGCTACGAGACGGTTCATAACGCATCCTAAAAATCACTCTGTAATTCTATTAAAGCTTTTACAAGGGAACAGAGAGAGAGGGGACTGCAAGTTCTGTTATGTCGAACGTAAGTCCTGGAAACCTGACAAACTGGTTGCTTCCATTAAAACAGGGAAGCTGTTTCTTTCAAAACTATCCCCTTTATCTTGATAGGCAGGGTTGACCTTTAAAAACGTAATGGTTATACTCGTAAACGTGAGGTGAAAGACAAAAACCCCAACAAACTAAAGGGGGGGTAGAAACCAGTGCTGTGGAACCCCTGCCTTTGACCCTGTGTGATTAAATCCACACATACCCAACCCTTTCCTCATTCTCCTCAATTAGATCGGGGACTTAAACTCTCGGCTCCCTTTAGGGGTGTCTCTTTCCCCCTCTCTTCTTTGCTTCTTCTCCTTTTCCGTTTTCCTCTTCCCCCTCTCTCTCGCCTCCCTCTCTCTTCCTCTCCTTCTCCTACTCTCCTCTCTCTCCTCTCTCCTCTCTCTCTCTCTCTTTTCTCGGGGGCTTTTTTTCTATAAGTCAGAAACAGGAAGCTTGAGGGAAGCGTGTCGGTTCACTCATAATGACAACCAGACCTCCGACTGACCGCACAACCCTGAGAAGAGGGGGAGGAGAAGAGGAGGGAGGAACGAAAAAGAGGGGGAGAGAAAGAGAAACAAGGGTGAATGGAAGAGCGAGAGACTGCATTCTCATGAGAGAGAAGGAGAGAGAGGGAAATAGAAAGAGAGAAAGCGTAAGGCAGAAAGTCTCTGAGAATGGATCCCAGATCGGAGAGTGGGGTCACGGCCCCTCAAGTTAGGAAATCTCTAAGACCGAGCCTTTCTAGTAATGTAACAGTAGAATAGCATGAACTGAGTAAGAGCTGCCAACTCTCATGTAAACTCTCATTGTTTTTCCTGAGGGAACATTCTCTGGCCTAAAGTAAACCAGATATATGTAAATATTTGGTAATGATCCTCCTTTCAGACATAGTTTAAAGTATATTAGTAGGGGCTACATCATAACAACCACTAATGTACAGTCACAGTAGTACATCTTATTGTGTGGGAGGAAAAAGGACATGGGGTTTTCTAAAGCTTCTCCCCCCTGAGGTTGAGGTGACTGAAGCTTTCTTGGCTCTCCTTCTCTCTCTGTGTGTGCGTGTGTGTGCGTGTGTGTGTGAGGCTTTCTTGGCAGGCTTGGTGGATGTAGGGATTTTACCTACCACGCTTATAGGCTCCCTACACACAGAGAGGGCCTGAAAGGAGAGAGAGAGAGAGAGAGAGAGAGAGAGGGAGGAGAGAGAGAGAGAGAGAGAGAAAGAGGGGTGGGGGGGGGGGGGTAGAGAGAGCTGTGACCTACTTTGACCCGGGGGGAAATCGGACAGATGTCCTTGAAAACTCTCGTTAACGCTCTGCTTGAACCCTTCTCCAGAAACCTGTCTTGTAAACATGCCATAAGCATGATATAACATACGTCATAACCTGTCATAGCCTGTCATACCAACTGCTCCCAGCCGGCCCCCCATCTAAACCTTGAACTCTAACAGCAGTAACTGCAGAAGTTCTATCAACACTGTTTCACAGGTAACATAACACTACAACTTACTTTATGGCTCATTTTATAGAGCATGGTGTTTATAGGACAGTGGGGCGATTCAAAGCTCCTTTCCTGTTTACTTCAGATAGAGTAGTTACTGTTATGAACTGGCTCCATGTCTTTAATGGTGATGTAAAAGGCTCTAACTACAGAACCGTGTAATAGGAGTAATAAAGTGTAGCTAGTAAGGAACATGAGTTTGGCTACTTTTCACTTTTAGTGTAGCCTGGTTCCAGATCTGTTTGTACTGTCTTGCAATTGTTATTGTCATGCCAAACAGCACAAACAGATCTGGGACCAGGTTAGT